ACTTTTGGATTGTCATTTTAGTTTTTAAACGACATTTTTTCAAGCACTCAGTGCGTAAAAGTAACTTTTAAGCACTAGTTGAATATAATGATAATATGAATCCTATCAATACCGCTTTTCCGGATCAGCGCTTGCAGAATTTGCGTATTAGAAAAGAATGAATTTGAGTGGACTGTTTATTGAAAAAGACTCGACTTGTTCTATTATCTTTTCTCGGTGGTTAAACGCTTTAGTGCAACACGTAGTTTTTTATGAGCTGCATTTCTAATGTTGAAGTTAGCCTTTTTGGACCGATTTCAATATAAATATATGCATTTCAAGAAAAAATCTATAAATTAAATTGGTTCTATTTTAAGGTGCGAAGTCGGGTTTCAATAGGGCATCCTATCAATATGGCGGCCTAGGCCAAACAGTGAAATTAGCGCCATAAGGATTTTATTTACCTTTTGGTGGATTCCTGTTTCATTACAGTTCGTTTAAAACTGGTATAAGTGTACTGGTTAATAACAGAACGCGCGAAGCGCGCTTGCTTTTCTAAATTCAACAAGGACTAGTACGCATTACGTGGACGGGATAGTTTGGGTTAGTTTGCATACTTTCGGTTAGTTTCATTTACTGTTCGTTTAATACTGGTTATAAGTGTACTGGTTAAAAGCAAAGCGCGTTTTTGTTTTTCTAAATTCAATATTAACATTCAAGGACTAGTCCGCATTACATGGACGGGTTAATTTGGGTAAGTTTGCATATTTTTGCTTAATTTCGTTACAGTTCGTTTATTACTGGTTATAATTGTACTGGTTAATAACAACTTGTTTTTTTAAATTCAATATTAACATACAAGAACTAGCTCGCATTACGTGGACGGGTTAGTTTGCATATTTTTGGCTAGTTTCGTTACAGTTCGTTTTACTGGTTAAGTGTACTGGTTGACAACACAGCGCGCGAAGCGTGCTTGTTTTTCCAAATTCAATGATAATATACAAGGACTAGTACGCATTACGTGAACGGGTTAGTTTGGGATAGTTTGCATACTTTTGGTTAATTTGGGTTACAGTTCATTTAATATCTACTGATTATGAGTGTACTGGACTAAAAGCTAAATTTAATATTAACATACAAGGACTAGCACACATTACGTGGACGGGTTAGTTTGTTTAGTTTCGTTACAGTTCGTTCAATAAGTTATATGGTTATAAGTGTACTGGTTACGCTGATAGCGACCAATAGTGGGGAATTTTCGTAGTTGATTTTTGAAAGGTGGGCCAAATAGTCAATTTTGCATATAATTTTCCGATGGAAAATCTACATTTTCCGAATTTATTTATAGCTTATATGTTTCTATTTGAAGGAATCTTTCTCAAAAAACAAAAAAAAAAAATGCCGTTTTTATTGAAACCTATAAGTTACCAAATCCAGAAGATTTTTTACTTTTTTGGTGGATCAACGTTTCCAATAAGGATTTTCTCTTTGAGATTTAGCGAGCGGAGCGAGCCATTCTAGACTTAAAAATTATTTAAATTGAAAAAAAAAAATAATTGCTTGTCTTTTGCCGCCATATTGTTTTCTTCTGCCAGGTTGGATTGTCAATGTCATTATTGCGCAGCCATTTTACTACGCGGTGGTTCAATAACAAGCCTCTATTCTTATTATTCCGCCGCGGTGTAATGGTAGAATAGGAATAGGGTTTTTTTAATGAAGTTGTGAATATTCGCTTACTAAGGCTGCACTAAAGCGTTTTACACCCCTTTTCTCTTGTTACAACACAAAGTTTATCGTTATGACAATATTAAAACAAAACAATTTCAAAGCTAGAGTACCAAAAAAAAGTTTAACTATTCATTGCTAAAAAATGAGACGGCGTAAGAACAGTTAAATCGTTCGGATCGGCAGACATCGGCTTCAAAGGTCTAGAATTTAATAAACTTTCTATTTGTGGAATGATGGTGAAAAAACTTTCAAATGTAAAAATATCTGGTGAAGATGTCATCACAAATTTCTTTTAGCGGACCTAATTCCCACCTCCCATATACCACCCAGATGTGGGGAATAAGCCGAAATATCAAGATCATTACCAAGTTATTGAATAAAAACACTTTGCAGTGGTCAAATCTGTCACCAGTTCAAGATTAACCGCTTTTACTGTTAAAAAAATAAAAAGACAGAGAAAGCATTTTTTTGTTTTTGCACCACGACCGTTCCTATCTTTGTATTGAAATGGACCTGCGTAATCCACACCCACGTCTGAAAATGGGGGTCTCGCAGATATTCTGCATTCTGGAAAATTACCCATAATTGGGTTAATGAACTTTGGCTTAAAACGGAAGCATACTACACATTGTCGCACAATGCGCTAAGCGACACTTTTTTCCAAAACTGGCCAAAAGTTTTCACGAGGCTTGAATAATAATAGTTGAAGACTACAATGATAGTTCTCATTATGTATATTTTTTAAAATAAGATCTGTTAAATGATGCTTATGATGCAAAAGAGCAGGATGTTTTTTGTCGAATGAATAATTCGAGTTTTTGAGGCGACCAACTATGCTTATGATGTCATCTTCAAAAATGGAGTTTAATTATTGAGATGACTTTTGTTTCTAACACTTCCAGATTTGATGAGTTCTTTTATTTGATCAGAGAATGACTCACGCTGAGCTAGCATAATTAATTTATGGGAAGCTTCACGCAACTCGTCCAAAGTTAATATTTGTTGATTGTCTATTTGATTGTTAGTAGCCTTACAATTTCTCAAAAATCGTAAACAGTAAGCCATTACATGTTTACCCGTTGAAAAGATTCCTGACCAGGTGGTTGATTCTCTTCTTAGCTCTGCCGATTTATCACGTAGCCTACTTTTACTTTAATTTTGAAATTAAGTTTCGTTTTCCCTTCCTTGCGCTGTGCAACTTTTCTGGCTTTATGCCGATTTGACATAATTAAAGTCAAAATTGACTGGTACGGCTACGATTTATTCCACTCCAAGGCCATACAATAACAAGGGTCTGCTTATAACTGCTTATATGCGCTTATAACTGCTTACACGTGTTTCTATATGCTACTATCTGCTTCTACCTGCTTCTAATTGCTTATAACTGCTTCTACCTGCTTGCTCAAGACCGCCTAGGTACCAAACTCAGTTCTGGTTTCGAGGCCTAGCTATATCATCACCATTAGTGGCGAATTACAGGATAGACTTCCCCTATCCCAGAACATCCTACGTTATATCTTCTGGAAGGTACTGCTCGAGGTACTGTTAAGTTGTGGCAGTTTAAAGGAACAATTGGTTGGGTGAGCTCCTTTTCATTATCAACAGTGGATTCTAATTCCCGAACAGCAATTGAAGTATAGGTAACTTTATTCCTGGGTGAATAGAAGTATATTTAGCTTATAGGTTAGCTTCATTTATTATTAATCAGTACCTTTTGGATTGATCTCTGTGACTGATTATTGGGACTATAACAACTGAAGTAAAACTTACGTGTTACGCCAATAATTTCCACAGCTTTGCAATTCAAAACTCTTGATAGTATTTAGGTACGTTTAAATTGTAATAGGTTAGGTATTTAATTTAACAATAAAAATTTGACTTGGGTAACAGATGGCCACTTTTACCATCAGCTGATTTATAGTTATTATTAGAATTGAATGTAGGACACAGGACACCTAGGACACATTTAATTATATTGTAATCGAAGATTATATTACTGATAAAATAAAGAACCCTCAAATACTGTTTATTTTGGAAAACGACTTTCATTTTATTGAATGCCTTGAGAGGGGAGTTTAAATAAATAGTTACTATTAAGATCTTTCTCATTTAAAATGCGTTTCTGTCAAGAAATATACACTAACATTTCTGACATCAATGTATTTTAAATGGGAAAATTCAAATACCAGTAGAGTTCAATTGATCCACTATTTGGTACAACCGGCCCTTATAGTTACTGTGCAATTATCAGATAATCCTGCACTAGTGCAAATTATCACATAATCACAATCTGATTGGTTCAAATCAATAATTAGAACATGTCAGTTATTGTTGGAATCGAAGTTTTGGTGTTCACGCAAAAACATAGCAAAACTTGCTTTTTGTTACATGTAACTACCCCTGAACTTGATAAAAGTAGTTATGTTTTGATGAGTGTTGCCAATTTGACTTAACAAAAAAAACTAAAAACAAAAATTTTAAGTAAGATAAAATTGAAAAATTTTGAAATTGGAAGATATTAGGGAATAAATTAAAGTCATTCTCATTTACTCCCTAATATCTTCTAATATCAAAAGCATTTTTCGTCTTTTTTGTTTGGCCTCATCATCCTGCATCGAGTTTAACCGACTCAAAATGTACTGTGTGAAGGTATCATTTTGAGTGGGCGATGGCTTCATATTTTTTGATGCGATAACATCAGCAACTCCGTTTGCTGCTTCCACCATTGCAGTGCAGTCTGGGTCGACTGCCTTTCTCTTTGAACCTCTCGAGGAACCTCTGGAACCTGCAAAATGAATAAACATGGTTGAGATTCACAATAAAATACAGGCAATGCTAGTTGCTACTCACAGGGTGTTTGTTTTAAACCAATACAGGATGGTTCTTCATCCCTTGTTACCTCCACATCAGTATCTGCTTCTGGTTCTGTTTCTGTCATTTATGTGGAGGACTTGATATATTCCAGTGTGTTACATAAATTTGAGTCTGAACACGAGGAACTGGGTCTGCTTCTACCGCTAGCTCAAGCAGGTTCTTTACACTTCTTTGGAGTGGCAGAAATATTTCTAAAATTACGGCTGTTTCCAAAATGCAATAAATGGATAAACTTAGTCAATTTTTTTTCACAAGTGTTCCAGTAAAATGTTCAAATAATAGTTATGAAACTATAAGCGATAATAAAAATTAATAGGTAAGTAACAATCTTACTTCCTGGATCGGCAACATTTTTTATAAAACTTCATTTCGTCAAAAAACATCTATTGTGATGAGGAGCCAGAACCCGAAGGTTTTTCTTACTTCTCCGGCATATATTTGTCCCTTAAATTCTTCCAGATTTTTTTCAAGTCTGGTTCTAGAAAAACACATTGAATGTATACAGAATACTTTCATAGTTTAGACTTACCTGAAACACCTATCATCTCGGAGATTTCCTTCCAGGATTCTTCCTTCTTGATTACATTTTTATAGTCCCTATTAGATAAGTCATGAAGGTGACCATAGTTTTGGATTAACTCGATCAGCAACCCCAAATCCAACGGCTGCTCGTACTCCAATTCTATTTGATAACATAATATTGGAAATACAGCTCAGGGTATTTTTCGTTATTTTTTTTTTTTTTTTTTTCATTTTCTTACCATTTTCCGACTCCATTTTACACCAAAATAACAACGCAATATGATTATCTAATATGAATGATAAAAAAAAAATCACTTGAAAAGTTGAAAAATTGATTGAAAACAAAAATACATAACCCCAAATATTTATGTTAAATCACATGAACAAAATTTTCTAATTTGATTAGTTACTGCACGAACGACGAACGGTGGAGTTGAAAGTTTACGAAGGTGGAACGGTGCCGCACAGAGGTCTAAATGTAAAAATTACGGGGACATTAGGTGACAAACTTGACTTCACTGGATATTGATAATATGTATGATTTTTTAGACAGAATAAAGTGAGACCTTATGTGTATATCAAGGTTTTTTGTTTGGTAGATCGGAATGCGATAAAATAAGGGACAACGGAGACAAAAATATAAATCCTCATTTAGTTAGAATTTATTCTCGATTATCTTCGAGTTCGTTTCGATAGTTAGTGTTGATAATATAATATCGTGTTTTGTTTAATTATTCAGGCATGTCTGCTGATTTGTTGGGTAAACTTAGTTACTTATTTCGTAGCACTAATTTTGATATAAATAATTTTCAAAGAAGTACTCAAAATTTTATTTAAGTTCCAAGAATGGAAGGCCCCAAAAAAAAAACCAAACTTTTGTTAACCGTCAAACTCAATCTATTTTAAAGCTAGTATTTCTGACTTTCTTGAAACTATATACTCAGCTGCAACCAGCTGCAATCTTGTGAAATTTTTATTTTTTTCCTCTTCAGGTACTGTTTCGGGCGTGACTCGAAAACAGTTATTTGAGTTTCTGAATGAAAATGGCTGGATGGGAAGTGCCAATTCTTCGATTGTGAAAAACAAGATGGGCGACTTTGTCAATCAACGCATCCCTACTGCCGAAAAGGATGACCTAAACAACAGAATTTCGTGGTTTTCGACGCAAATTGCGTTACGTTGGAAAAGGTGCCACCGAAATAAGATTTACTTTTTGAATAAACATGAAATTTGGCTCAATGAGTTTGTTTATAAATCTAAGTGCCAAAGCACCTTCCAGCGACACGCAGAAAAGCCTTCGAGAAAGAACACAAGAGAATTTAGTGACGTTAGTGCTAGAACCAGGAGAAGACGAACACAAGAATTGGTTTCTCACCATAGTCCTGCTGAACTTGCGTTTGCTACTCAGTCTGGATATACGAAAAGAGGAAAGAGAAATGTTGCTTTCGTCATAAAAAAAGCCACGATTTCTAGTCCAGAAGAGTTGACTAAAATAAAACAGTTAGGAAGGTTCAACAACGAGATACGACCATTTTCTCCAGTAGACGCGTCTTTTTTTATGACGAAAGCAACATTTCTCTTTCCTCTTTTCGTATATCCAGACTGAGTAGCAAACGCAAGTTCAGCAGGACTATGGTGAGAAACCAATTCTTGTGTTCGTCTTCTCCTGGTTCTAGCACTAACGTCACTAAATTCTCTTGTGTTCTTTCTCGAAGGCTTTTCTGCGTGTCGCTGGAAGGTGCTTTGGCACTTAGATTTATAAACAAACTCATTGAGCCAAATTTCATGTTTATTCAAAAAGTAAATCTTATTTCGGTGGCACCTTTTCCAACGTAACGCAATTTGCGTCGAAAACCACGAAATTCTGTTGGTTAGGTCATCCTTGTCGGCAGTAGGGATGCGTTGATTGACAAAGTCGCCCATCTTGTTTTTCACAATCGAAGAATTGGCACTTCCCATCCAGCCATTTTCATTCAGAAACTCAAATAACTGTTTTCGAGTCACGCCCGAAACAGTACCTGAAGAGGAAAAAAATAAAAATTTCACAAGATTGCAGCTGGTTGCAGCTGAGTATATAGTTTCAAGAAAGTCAGAAATACTAGCTTTAAAATAGATTGAGTTTGACGGTTAACAAAAGTTTGGTTTTTTTTTTGGGGCCTTCCATTCTTGGAACTTAAATAAAATTTTGAGTACTTCTTTGAAAATTATTTATATCAAAATTAGTGCTACGAAATAAGTAACTAAGTTTACCCAACAAATCAGCAGACATGCCTGAATAATTAAACAAAACACGATATTATATTATCAACACTAACTATCGAAACGAACTCGAAGATAATCGAGAATAAATTCTAACTAAATGAGGATTTATATTTTTGTCTCCGTTGTCCCCAATTTTATCGCATTCCGATCTACCAAACAAAAAACCTTGATATACACATAAGGTCTCACTTTATTCTGTCTAAAAAATCATACATATTATCAATATCCAGTGAAGTCAAGTTTGTCACCTAATGTCCCCGTAATTTTTACATTTAGACCTCTGTGTGCCGTTCCCAAGAAAAACGATGAACGGAAACGGTAACAGTGGATATGAATGTATACACTAATTACGCATTTTTTAAGTTGGAACGGAAACGACAGCGACGAACGGTGGAGTTTATGAATCAGGCTTTATGTTGGTTTCATCCAGAGGACCAGATAGGACTTTTGTCAGTAGGAAACAGGCCAGGATATTTTGCCAGAGTGTAAAACACTCTAGTGAAATAGTCATCTAATAGTGGATTATACCACGAGTCAATAATGATAGCTATTATTGACGAAAATTTACGAACTGAGCCGCGTTAGCGGCGAGGGAGTAACATTCCGAGGGAATAATAGCCATTATTGCAAGTAGTAAACTCTACTTTATTTACGACAAATTAATTTATTTGAGATTTTTAATAGCAAATTTCATCCACCTCAATACAAATCCACAAGCACTACACGTTTGACACTGAGACTTTTGAGGAATAATGACTATTAATTCCGCTACTCGTCATTATTTCTTGGGGGTGACATTAGTCGGAAATAATAGCATATTACATGCGGAGGTGGAAAGTGTTTCATTATTGTCGAGAGATACTATGGTTCACCGAGGTGCGAAGCGCCGAGGTAAACCAATTCTCGAGACAATATATGTGAAAACTTTCCACCGAAATATGTATACTATTTTATTTTGAACCATCAATTATTGAAAAAAAAATGAGGTAAAAGTATAACAAAAATGGAATTACGACTGACACTCTGACAGCAACATTGGCATCTTATGGAATTTCAACAATACAAACACATGTGACATCTACTTCTAAATACAAACATTGCACCTGGATTTGTGTTAAGGTGTGAAATAACAATTTAGCAGGCCGAAAGTGAGTTCTCCAGGCCGAAAGTGACAGGAGAACTGTCACTTTCGGCCTGCTTTAAAGTAGATAAAAGTAAAATGACATTTTCGAGCCTTCAAACTAGTAAGAAATGTGAAAATAGGGTACTTGCATGGAAAATTAAATTGATTATTGTTTATTGCAAACTGTAGGAAATCGAAAAAAAATCGATGCGTGTTTTTTTATTTTGTCCAAATATGAATATTCTAAAAGTTATACAAAGATTAAGTTTTGTATATATAGATATACTCAGCATGGAGTGACGTCATAGGATATCAAAAATAAGCACATTTCAAAGCGTTGTATCTCCATCAATTTTTGACTAACAAGAAAAAGAAAAAACACGTGTTGACTTATTTTTCAGGGACTATCGAAATCACCAATAAAAAATTTTGATGCAAGGGGCCCATTACATATATGGTTCAAAATAAAAATAGTTAATAATTCTCTAAACCAATTTATTTAAAAGCCTCCAACCTATACCAAAAACCATTCACCTTAATATCCAGAAGTTTATCGCGCTCCATTTAACTAAACCTTTCTAAAGGGGTAAATATACAACTCTGCCGATACCAAAGACCCATTACGTTGCACAAGTAAAGTGTTCACGAAATTAGTACCTACTGCTTTTCATAATGTTGTATATAAACGTAGTTAACGATCCAAAATTATTGAATAAAACTAATGAATTATAACGTATATGGTGCCATTCGATAGCAAAACTTAATGCGTAGCCTAATAAAACTAAGGCGCGGCGATGATGATGAGGTTAGTGAATTACAGAGCTGATGGTTGGTGATTCTATTAATTTGTACAGGAACTAATACTTATTTTACTTGTTGGGTATCAAAAATATTTTATATGTAAGGTCTAATGAGCTGATTTAATAAAGTTGATGTGAACGTTGTTCTGGTTTTCTCCAAAACAAACTTGAGTGTGACAGCAAGTGCATCGCTCCTCGAATCGATGTCCTTATGTGGTAAAACCTAAAACCCATAGAATATTAATGAAACAACTCCGAATTTGAGCAACTAGTGGGAACTTTTGAATTTTCTCCGAACATCTTTAAAAAAAAAATATATATTGTAAAAATATCAATCGGACCATAAATTAGTATGGAGTAGGTATAGTCTGGCTAGCCAAACGACGAACTGCAATAGAATTTGCTGCTTTTCCAAACTTGTCGGAAACAATAATAAACAAGTTGGTGACATACCTATTTTTTTCTTTTTGCAATATGGGCATGCGTAGTATTTTGAAATAGAAAAAAATCCCGCAACATTGCGAAATGATGGATATGGAGAGGCGTGATTATTTAGAGGCCTGATTCTATTGGTTAGAGCCTGAACGACAGCACAGTGTCGTGGTTATCGGCGAAACTAAAAAAAAAAATCTAATAATTTTATTGATTTATTTCCTTGGTGTTTTCGGTGCCACTGAACCCGAAGACATGGTTGTCATCAGGCAGTGAATATTCTTAGGTTACTTCCCACTTTTCTTCCCCCTTTTCGTCTCAAGTTACCACTTGCCAGACTATGGGTATGCAAAATAAAAATAATATGCTTCCCGCCCGCTCACGGTGGCATTTTAAAGCTAAAAGATCAAAAAGCTCGCTAGAGACTACCTCTTCTGTACCTATTAGTTTGGTGATGCATTAGCGTGCGATGTGAAAGACATGGACACCGAGAGCTCTTTTCCGCATGCGGGATTTATTGCATAATCCCAGTTTTGGATAGTGACGAGACGATTGAGACGAAACATAAATCAGCCTAGAAACAGTGTCAGCCTATATCGGGAAAGTCTCTAAGACTCTATGGACTTGTCACCTCAATG